GTCCTGGGAGTCTAGCTAGATGTAGGAGGATCTGCCATAGAGATTTCTGAGTCAGTCAGGCTTTAACAAAGTAGCAATCCGCTCCAAGCTATTGCACATTACGATGAGCAACCAAGGACGTATTCACTTTCTGAAAAGATGAACAAAAATAGCAACATCTCTTCCATTAATTGAATAAGTTAGAATACCCAACAACTCCGATACCACAAAATAGGCAATTGCTTTCACCTTCAAACAAGATAGATGTAGAATTCTGAAATAAAGCTAATCATAAAATATTCATGGATGTAAAACTTTGCTAATAAACAACACAACCGATTGTCATTGTCATTGAATACTTTCGAGGCTAAAAGGCACCTTCCAGTCCAAATACTCCGGATTATCTCAATTAACAGAGGCCACCGAGGACACAGTACCATCGACCTTAACGGAAACTTCAGATAAATCTTTATTTCTCATGGCAAAAAAGGTTAATTTCACTCCCCTCCTCCCCCCGCCTCTTCTCCTTCGCAACATCAAATGCCATATTTTTAATGCTACAGCTCCCTGCCAAACCCAAAATGAATTCACTGCCATTAATAGAGGAAAATAAAATATAGTCACGAATTGCATTTGTTGAAATTAAGAAATATGGCTATTGGCGGAACCATTTAATTTGCCTACTGTAGATAGATTATTCCATCGCGAAAAATCGATGTCTGCAGAACTACTTTTAACTACTACCAAGTGGTTTTGTAAACCTAACAGTGAAATTCACAGGCACAACAGATCATTGAAAGTCTATAAGGGGAATTCGAAAAAATGACCAAAATTCGACTTGTTTTAATGATATTTAACTCGTCAGTTATTGATTTATTGATTATTACATGAATTGTTACACATTCCTATATATTTTTTTCGTTAAAATACTTGTAATTTAAACAGTATTACTGGTCCATTTTGGTTTAAGGCGCATATTTCACCTAATGAAACTAATTGACATTTATAATTCCAATTCAAAATCGACAATTAAGTTGCCCATTGAAGGCAAAGGCGAGAGTTTAGTAGATAATGAATTTGTGCTAGACTGCTAGGTAGGTCATACAATGTGCTTTCAGCTTCAAGTATCCTTACAACAGTTGTATTTTCACATGGCCTGTTTTGATTGTTCAACCAAGTTGATTTAGAGCAGACGGAAACAAAAATTGTGTATGCTTTAAATGTAAGCACTTGCCTGTAATGTGTTTCGGTCGACAGGCTAAATTACAGGTCTCCTCATCTGGGAAATTATTTCCGTAGACGGGACACGAGTAATAGCTTCGGCAGTAGCCCTCCTTTACATCAAAGTACCACCTTTCACCCATCATTCGACAGTCATTTGACATGGATGTGATCGGATTCATGTGGCAGATATCTGCAAAGAAGTTGAACGAACATGCATTATAAGAAAAAAGTAAGAGCAGTCAAATTAAAACTGTCAATAATCCTCCCATTAGAGCGCATGATAGCTAAATGAAATAAATGTTTTCTTCAAAAATACCACACAAAATATTTAATGAGGTAAAAATCGATAATTGCATACCGTGATTTAAACATGTGAGAAAATAATACTTACTCGTAACGTCTGTTCCGCTTGGAGTAGGTGGTAGACAGTGGTTGTAACAGGCCGAACTGGATGCAAACGTTCCAGGCAAAAGATGACCGTTAACTCCACCGCCCCCGCCAAGACTTGGCCAGAGACTGAAGACGTCGCTAATTCCTCCAAGTTGGGGCTGGAATGCGTCCGTAATATTTGGAGGGCAGACCTCGATTTGACGACAAGTGCCGGCATCGGCTTCGTATATCCACAGCTCCAGTCCACTACCGTGACATTTTTCAATGTGACTTGCGTCACAGATTTGAGATACTGGAAGAGGGAATTTAAGAAATAAATTTAAAAGATTTGAATGTAATGAAAGCCGTTTAGACAATAGTTTGGTGGATGAAACGTAATCACACAAAATACGATTTGTTCTTTTCCCTCAAAATTGAACTTGATTCCTTTCAACTTGTAAATACTTTGTTAATGAGGTGACAAATGATGTGGCAAAAGGTGCACGCAAAACTCACAATTAAGTAAATATGATACATGAACAGGCGAATCGATTTATCGATTAATAACGCATTAAAATAAGAGCTTAACCAAAACAATTATTGTAGCGAAATTGACAGTGGACACATAGTAAAAAAAGCTATTTAACTCAGATTTACGAAAACTGTCACCTTCAGTAATTCTATTGAATACTCATAGTTCTGTATGATTCATAAGTAGTTTTGCACCCCCCTAATCACGCCGTTTTGAAATGTCTCTCATCGATTTTCAACCGTCTTCCAAATTTTTCAAAACAATCGTTACTTTGCTACCCGATGTTTTGGATTTAATACAACCCCTTAGGGACCACATCTGCATTGCTCCAAACTTGTGATTAAGTAGTAGTGATTAAGAGTTGTGACACAGCCTTTCTCTATCCTCGGCCAGTGATTTCAAGGTAAAAGTTTACCTTCGTGCAACACTAGCTAACTTACAGTGAATAGCACTTTCCTGGCGTTAAAGAGGGCACGCAGAAAATGCGCAACAATAGGTAAGTGCTAAAACAATGACTGGTTGATTTAATTTAATTCTTAGGTAACTAGGCTAAGTAAGACAAGTCCTCATTCTATTAGATTTTATCTCAAATTAAACTGCGACCTAAGTACTCGAACTTTCTTGGTAGTTGACAAAATCCTAAATTCGCCAGTTATTTGGTCTGACCATTTCTGTCTATTTCAGGTTTTCTATTAACTCTAACACGCCTTTAGGACCGTACAGCCCACTTTCAAAGTATGCCCCATTGATGCTTGACCCTTAACAGAAGACGATATTGCCATTTGAAACATGTTCAATACGTCTATATCCTACGACTGATACACCGCCAAAACTCCTCAAGTCGGCGGCATCAGTCTGCTGTGCGACATGCGTGAGTGTGGTTGAGTGCAGAAACACATAATTATGTAAAAAACCGGCTGTACCCCAATGAAAAGGTTCCATTTTAAATTGTGGTGATGAATCCGAACGTTCAGAGCGTATACTTTTCCATTAAGGCATGAATGGAGGAAAGATCGCTGGCTGACAGAGTTCCTGCTTATCCGAGGTTGTTCTGGCCTCCTTTCTAATATTCAACATGTCAAATTCCAGAACCTGAACTCCAAATTTCTGAGAGAGTACTTTTCAATACCGCTATAATACTATTGAAAATGTGGGCAAGTTTACTTTCATTTCGTGGATTTATTTTTCCTTAATAGTAGAAATGCTTCAAGCAACGTTACCTTCCATGTTTTTATGCATTTCTGGTAAATATATTTGCGATAAATCTCCTAAAATGCCTTCGATGACAAACGTGGAATTCAATGTCATCCTTTCTTCATTTTTAGTTAGTCCTACAAATAAAGTCGAAGGGTGCGCTTATCGACACCCAATCATCAAAAAGATTTATAGACCATCCTATAATATTTCAGTACTCCAGTTTCCCAAGAGGGAATTCTTGAGCGTAATCCTCTACTAAGGATGAGCTTCCAACATCTCTGTTTTGGGGTGTGTGATAGACTTACCTCCGCGTGGTGCTCCCTGGGCAGCGTATACTCATACGGCAAAAAAAGTCTATAAACCGGCAGTTGACTTCTGACTTCAAACTACTATGGCCCGACTATTTGTCATATTCGACCCCTTCCAAAGTACTCATCTTACCTTTTTTATGCCTTTGTGTCCGTCTGTCTGTCTCTTTTACATCTGTGAATCACTCTTCTATTCCCCCTCTAGACTTTTTTCACTGTGATGTCCCTCCTCCTCTTCCTCTCTCTGTGAAGCCCCGAAGTCAGCTCCAGGGCTAATGATAACTATCAAAAGAAGCCCCGAAGTCAGCTCCAGGGCTAATGATAACTATCATTTGATATAAATAAATAAATACATCTCTATTTTTATATTGACCTACGAAATTAAAGGGGTTGAATCCACCGACTACTTATCTATAAAAGCATAAGATCAATTAATTCTCCTGACTGACCACCGATGCTATCTTTGAGGTGCTATTTAATTGACGCTACGCCAAAATAGTTAATTAGTGAAATATATATGGCTTGACCCACCTGATCGACGTAGTCTCCGAGCACATACGTTATCGCACTGCGATTTCGTTTCAAAGTGATTCCCTCGTGCACCACATCCTGTGTAGAAGTAGGGTTCGCAGTGTTTGGTCTTGCGATTATAGAAGAAACGAGTGAGGTGAACTCCATTTTTGGAGCTTCCATCATGAATACGTCTGGGACGAGGGCAAGTACCGTAAGTATGGTGTTGCAAGCAAAGGTCCCACGCTAGAAGGCGAAGGAAAGAAATCATTTAGCTTGTTTCAGAAGGATGTGATAGTATTTAAATGTGAAAGCCTTTTTAGTTATTCCAGAAGACATTACACAAATATAATTTCTTAGAAATCAAGAATAAATAAAGTGAAAACTTTTCACGGTCCCAGAGAATCTATAATTCTTTGATATCAAGACTTCGGCAAAGCTGTTCCCAATCAATGACGCCATGATATGGGCGTTTAGTCCTGAGATAGTTAGACAGCTGTTATCATCGGTTTAATTGTCAATATCTGAATGGTTATTAGCCATTCGTCTAATTTGCCAAAGGTACGTAGAAACGAGCGGATCTGTGCGATACATTTCATCTTTACTAACGCCTTCCTCAATATTAATTCACTTAGCCTCGTCTTCCAATGTCTTTTGACCTAGTCTACAACAACAACGCTTGAATTTAACCATTACCTTACACCTTTATGCTCTATAGCTGCCGAAGATTCTTTTTGAATAACTGACAATAGGTGGCATACTTATGATAGTGGTGCGAACGGTTGTGAAAAACATAGGGCACAATTTGAGGCCGACTAATCGGTATGATCGCGAACCCCCCTTATTTCTTCATTTCAATGTGTAGAACTTTGTGACTGTCACTATTTTTCTTGGAGAATTGCTTTCATTATCACATTCTCATTTCGATGTAAGTTAAACTCACGATATCTCTCTGAATACATAACAGTAATCCTTCTCATTTCCTCGAAAACTTCCACTGGAACTTGGGGTGCTTTTTGAACTTGAACTCCTGAAGCCTCATTAACTTTCGCTGGGGGAGCTCCAGTGTCGTAGACTTCACTCATGGCTCCACAGGCTTCTTCGCACTCCACCTTGGTGGTGAATCGATTTCCGTTGCCAAGGCAACCGCCATACATGAAAAGACGACACTTTGCAGTATTCGGATCGTAATAATATCGAGCGTGACCACCTTTGCATGGACCAGTGTCTTTTGGCAGTCGACAAATGTCTGAAAGTTAAAAAAATGAGTGAATGAATCCATAATCATTTAAACAAGCAGCGCGTTAACTGTCTGATAATCCAATTAGTTTGCTATGGGTGAGCTGCAGCGGTCAACCTACTTCAACTTTCTCCAATATGGGGTGTGCGATAGACTTACCTCCACGCGGGGCACCCTGGGCAACGTATACTCATACGGCAAAAAAGTCTATTACCTGGCAGTTGACTTCAAACTACCATGACCCCACTGTATGTCATATTCGAATATTTACACAGTACTCATCCCACCTTTTTTCCAACTTATCTACCTTCGTCTTTGATACACTCTTCTGTTCCCCACCCCCCTCTTGAATTTTTTACACTTTGATGTTCCTTCCCCTCTTTGAAGACTGAAGTCAACTAAAGGGCTAATGATAACCATCAAAACGCTTGCCATTTGATATAAATAAATATAGAAATATAAAGACTTGAGTTGCGAGTTCGTAGATGACCGCGACACAATTTCTAATTCTCCTTATTGGACCTTTGCTAAAACTCCAGCTACTCGGACTTAGGAAAGAGAAAAACAGGAGACATTGAACTCAAAAGTGATAAATTCGTAGATATGAATTTGAGCCACTAAATGCAGCTATGACTTCTTTTAAGGCATTCAATTAGACACCGTAAAATTATTGAAAAAATGGATGACAATAATTTTACCATGCTATTACAATGGAGATAATAATTCAACTGTTTCTAAGGCAAAGACGAAACGTCAGATTGTAAGAGAAAGAATTGACATTCTGATGTGATAATTGGGAAATCTATACGCGTGGTAGCATTAACAACTATTAACTATAAAAGTAGGAAAGAAGAAAGTAGAATAAAAAGATTTGAAAACAGGCATTAATATCATTCAATTTTTCTTCCATTTTTACTTTCTAAATGTTTCCCCTGTGTATGTGTGTGTCTGGGCTAAAAATGATAAAGCCAGATCAAAATTTTCTAGGATTGCCACAAATATTGAAAGAAACATTAAATAAGTCTATTTGAAAGCTTCAATATGCTACACGTAATGGAAACTCATAATATTGAGAATAGATTAGTGCCAAAATTTCCAGTAAATAAAGGGTGCAGAAATAAGAATAAGAAATTGAATGCCTCACATTTTCTTCTTATTCTCCATTATCTAACTTTGTAGCATATGGGGTGTGCGATAGACTAACCTCCACGTGGTGCACCCTGGACAATGTATATTCATACGGCAAAAAAGTCTATTAACTGGAAGTTGGCTTCTGACTTCTAACGCCCATGACCTCACTGTATGTCATAGTCGACCACTTCTACAGTACTTACCTTACCCTACTCTCTACCATTGTGTCTGATTCTTTTACATCTGCTAATCACTCTTCTGTCCCCCCCCCCTTGAATTTTTCTCACTTTGATGTTTCTCCCCTCTGTGAAGTT